TATCAACAGTTAAATTTTATAATTATAATTTTTTTAATTTAATATATATTCTATTGATTGATTATATATTTTTATTTATTTTAAAAGAAATAAAATAAATTTTAAGTTTATTTTAAGTAAATTTAGGTTAAAATATTTTTATCAGGTCATAAATAGAATATCATCCTGCATTTTGAGCAACAAATTAGATGATTTTTTTCAAAAAGAAAAAAATCATTCAAATTAATGTACCTATAATATATCAAAATATTCATAAATAAATTATATCACAATGGATCTAAAATTGCTATTGGATTAATGTTATCTATATGAAGAATTTACATTATACTAATCTTAAATCAAATACAATTATTTATAAGTTTATTCTTATATTATTCCTAACATGATATAATGATAATTAATTTTTTATTAAAATGCTCAAAAAAAAAAAATTATCCCTGGCCATCCATAATTTATCCAAAATTTGGCAAAATGACAATTTTGTCCTTACCTTTTGCTGTTATCCATGGATTAAAATATAGTGAAAATATTTTTTTTTTTTTCAATTTGGACAATTTTGAAATACACAATTAAAAAACATAATTTCAAAGTAGACTTATCAAATTCTTCAATTTGTTAAAATTTCTGTTTTAATTATTTTTTAATTGTATAATCATCAGTTTTTTTTTTTCAAATTAATGGGTTTTAATTGAGTAGTTATAGGTCTGATTAGTGAAACACCTCTTATTTGGCTTGCTTTGTACCACTTAGGCTGCGGTTCGGATAGATTTTTTATTATTTTCTAAAGCAATTTTTTATTATAAAAAAAATTTAGCCTAAAAATTTTTTTACTAATAAATTGCTTTAAAAAACAGTAAAAAAGTCATCTCAAATGAAGTCTTAATTTAATTGATTAATCAGACTTCATTTAGTTGAACTAATCCATTTACTCACCTAATTTTTAATTAGTCCACTAATCAGATTAATCTGACTTTAATTTGATTATTTATAAATTTAATGTTATAAAATAATAGATTAAATTCGATTACCAAACCATTATAAATTAATAGGTTTAGTCCCTGGCAGAGAGGGAGTGAGATAGGAGGGCCACAGTGTGGCCTTTGATGTGGCGGAAATGACAAGAGGTGAAAGGTAATAGCCACACAAAAAGGGCAAAAATAATAATGAGATATTTTAATACAAAGTTAATCAGGGAAATTTCATCTTATGTCTCATAAAAGCAAAAATTAAGAAAATATACTCAGTATTTATTTTTATGGAAAAAATATGCTTGAAAATTTACTCCTAATCAAAAATATTATTATTTGAAATCTGAACAATCAAAATTGATTTAAGCATGATTTGGACAATAATCGAACAAGCTTTGACCAAATTATACAAAAAAAAAAATATTTGACCTACGATCGAACATTATTTCAACTATATGTTGCAATTTAAATAAGTTTCCTGCATAATTCGAACATTGTTCGTGAATTATTCGATCATTAGAAACAACAGAATATAATACAATTATAAAGAATAATATGCCAGCTATAATAAGACTGAGTGCAATCAAAATAGCTATATGCATGTAATCGTTGAAATCATAGAAGCTGATGCGAAAAAAAAAGGTTGTTGAGTGATTGGGTGAGCACGACGAGGTGAGCGTTGAGTGAGACAGTGCAAGTTTCTGGTTCAATCTGGGTTGAGTTCAGGTTTCTGGGTCAATCCGAATCTGACTCAAATTTATAAATGGATCAAGAAACAAAATTAGAATTAGACCCGTTTGGTAAACGAGTTAATCCTAACCTGAAATTTTTCGGGTCGGATTTCAAGTCGAATTTATTTTTGACACCTCTAGTCTCAACCATATGATTGCTCAAAAATTAAAAAAAAAATCGGTGAATATTTTAATGTAATTTTTTATCATAATAACATTGAAAAATTATCATAAGTCAATTATTTTAATATTTATCTTTTAATTATCTATAAATACCTTAATATAACTTTTTTTTTAAAATATGTCATAATATCCTAATACAAAAAGTAGTAAAATAGACTTTAAAGTCGACCAATTTATATTGAGATTACTAATATTCTGAATTACACTAATCTCAATATATATTGCATTACCAATTACTAATATTTCAATATTCTTTTTTTTATTTAATATTATACATAGGGCCCACTAAATTTTTAGATATTGTGCTGCCTGCCCAATGGCATGCTGCCAACAATGTAATTTCAGGTTGCAATGTCATAGCTAAAAATCCAGTTGAGATAAAGTACAATATAAAAGCCAGCCAACTCTCCATGCATTGGCATGAGGGAGACATCATAAAGATAAATCTCATACATTAATGAATAGAGTTATTAGAAACATCGAGGGATTAGTAGCCTTGCCTCTTTAGTAGCGCAAAATAAGTGTGGGCCCGATGTCAGTGAATGATCTCGTAGGTCCCCCGAGGGATTAGTTATGCTATTAAGTGCTCTCTTTAGAGTGTTAGCGGGTAGATACCACGTTCCAAAAAAAAATAGTTATTAGAAACCCTAACAAATTTTAAAATTTATAATGAATTGATATTCAGAGTAAATATTTCATGTACTTTATTATGTGTTAACAAAAAAAGAAGAAAAATTAATATGAATATTAACATATGTGTTAATATTTAACACTGTCGTTGTCAGATCATAAGTCCTTGACAAAAAAAATGAAAGTTGTATTAGGTAGTTGATAGCAGGGGTGGATCCAGCTTCTTTTTTCATGGTGGGCAAAAAAAGACTTTTGTGGTGGATGGGCAAAAATGCTTAGGATTGATAAAATTAGGGAAAAAAATATTTTTGAGCGGAGACAAAATACTCAAAATACCCAAAATATTCCAAAATATCTCCTCTAAATATTTTTTAAAAAAAAATTGAGGGTAGGCATTTGCCCACCCTGAGTCTTTGGTGGATCCGCCTATGGTCGATAGCCTGCGTAAAACTTATCGAATAAAATCTCATATAGACGAGTAACTTTACACATAGAGACTGGAAGTGAGAACAATATATATGTGAAACGGTTGGATTAGCTCCAGTGATAGATAAAATTATAGAGAGTTGTCTTAGTTAGTTCGATAACATAAAACATCGACTTTTTGTTGATTTTGTTAGGAGGGTGGATGTATTAGATACTATAAGTATTAAGAAAGGTAGAGGTGGACTTTAAATGATTTGGTTAGAAAGAACTAGAAATTATATTTTTTTTTATCAGTTTTAAATGAGATTTTGCCTTTTAATAGAACAGAATAGAAAAAAAAAAAAAAAGATTCATGTAACTAAGCACAAGTGGTAGGATAATATAATAAAATAATTATATATTTCTATGAATAAGTAAAAATAAATATTATATAAAATTAGCACGAAATTATCCTTGAAAAAATAATAAATACTTCAATTAAGAGGCCTACACCATCGCATCTCTATTTAAGAGCCCTTTTCTCATTAGCCTAATCCAGATTCCAGCGCTAATTACTTCTCTCTCCCTCTCTCTTTCTCTCTCTTCCCGACAAATAACGATTCAATCTGCTCCCGCCTTCCGCTCTCACCTGTTCGACGAAATGCCGAGCTAACCCAGGTGGTAGCGATGAAGCTTTCACTCTGGCTCCGCCTCCCCTTCTCCCTCCTCCCACTCCTCGCCATTCTCGTCCTCCTCAGCTGCCGCGCTACCATCCGCCGGACCATCACCTCTCCGGCCAACTATGCCACCGCCGTCACCCCATCTTCATCTAATCCTTCTCTCCTCCGCCTCGCTTCAGATGACCCTTACTCCGAAACCGTGGTGAGGAGCGACGTCGATGCTCTTCTTTCCGGAAAGCTCCCATCCTCCTACCCTCGCGCTCCATTCGTTTGGCGCAGAAGCGCCGCCGAGCTCAATCGTCCGGAGGTCCGGCGATCCATCCTCAACTGGTGGGGAAACCGCCTATTCCAACCGGAGATCATGTCGAATCTCACCGATCTCGTAAAAACCCCCCTTGACCACCACGCCGGCCAGTCAAACCCAAACCATCGATACGCCTCCTGCGCCGTCGTCGGAAATAGCGGTATCCTCCTCAAATCCAATCACGGCGACCTCATCGACGGCCATGATCTCGTGATCCGGCTCAACAACGCCCGCGTCCACGGCTACCACCGCAACGTCGGCTCCAAAACTAACCTCTCCTTCATCAACAGCAACATTCTCCATCTATGCGCGAGCAGAGAAGGCTGCTTCTGCCATCCATACGGTGAAGACGTCCCCATCATCATCTACATATGCCAGGCCGTCCATTTCCTCGACTACGCCGTCTGCAATTCCTCCCATAAAGCTCCATTGTTGATCACCGACATCAGATTCGATATGCTCTGCAACAGAATCGTCAAGTACTATTCTCTCAAGAGGTTCACCAACTTGACGGGCAAATCAATGGAGGATTGGTCGAAATTCCACGATGAGAAGATGTTTCATTACTCGTCGGGATTTCAGGCGGTGATGTTGGCGTTGGGGATTTGCGATCGAGTTAGCGTTTTCGGATTTGGAAAATCGGCAGATTCGAAGCATCATTACCATACAAATCAAAAGGAGGAGCTTGATTTGCATGACTATGAAGCAGAGTATGAATTTTACAGAGATCTGGTGGAGAGGCCAAAGGTGATACCTTTCCTTCAGGATTCTGGGTTTAGTGTTCCTCCTCTTGTTTTCTACCGTTAGATTTTGATTCAATTGAATCTCTTAAGCTTTTTTATCTCCTTCCATTGTGGAACAGAATTTACAGCTAAAGAAAAACTTGCAACTGTAAAATTATTCCAAAGGTCTGATTTTTTTTCTCTGTAATTCAAGTTGTCTTTGAAGCTGTAGCAAAAGCATTTGTAAAATTTGGCTAATTTACAGATGACTGACAAGTGTCATTCTCTGGTCGAAGGGAGAAGAAAGGTAGCAGACGAAAGGCAAATTGAATATTCACAAAAAAAAAGGCAAATTGAAGTGTTCCACTTTGATAGGCGGCGTATATTTTTCAATAATTGAATGATTTGAAATAAAAGGAATTTAAAGTAAATTCTCAAATACTTTAATATATTAATTTTTATTCGATTAAATATTTTTATATTTCTAAAATGCATATATTCTAAATACTTGTAAAAATCATCCAATTAAATGGCTCATATAAGAGAAATTATTCTGTGCGGACGCTAAACGATGTCCGTAGACTAATCAGAATTAGCCACTGATGCGGTCTAGTATCCCATCCGCATAACCACCTGCCAGCAGGACCACTATCTTTCAGCTTTTGCCTTTTTACACGTTCTTCTACTTTTTGACTAGTTTTAGCCAGCTCAGCTTTGGCATATATAGCCTTACTTAGAGCACTCCTGAGGAGCAAGAAGAAATATACTACAAGTTAATTTCCCAAATCACTGTTCCATTGCATTCGTTTTCTCTGTTTCTTGCAGGTAACTCCTTCGGGCGCCGGCTCCAGACGTCGTCTCCTCAGTCGCACGGGTGAGTCCGTCAGTTGGTATCAGAGCTAGTACCGGAGCGATGGCCGCAGAAACTTCGCGAAAAGCTTCCGACGACAATCGAAGCTTGGACGCCGTGTGGGCAGCGCAAGCTGGCTTCGCACGGCAGCTCACTGAACTAAGAACGGAGTTCGCTCGATTCTCCGCGGAACTGCGTAATGAACTACTGGATCTGAAGACTGCTATCCGTCCGCCGCAACCAGCCAATGTCCAGATCCCTCGGCCACAGACGGAATAAATAAGGGCTCCGTTAGGACCAATGGGGCCTCATCGATTAGCCAGGGCGGCATACACTGAACTTACCGATTCCGATGAAGAAATCGGCGTTCGTCTGAGACCAGACTTGAACGGTTCTGGAGACGATGGTCCGCCCCGTTTTTATGACCGTCCTCGACAGCGAGGGCATTATCAAGGTAACCCTGGCGAATTTCGTATCAAATTAGATATACCATTATTTGAGGGCAGATTGCACATTGAGGACTATCTGGACTGGGAACGCGCTGTCGAGTCCTTCTTTGATTACATGGACATTGCTCCTGAAAAGCAAGTTAAGTACGTAGCCTGTCGCCTGAAAGGCGGGGCTGGTGCTTGGTGGCAACAGTTACTCCAGACTCGTCTACGCGAGGGTCGTGGATCAATTCGCAGTTGGCCGCGAATGAAGCAACTCCTTCGGAGCCATTTTCTGCCCACGGATTATGAGCAAATGCTCTATCTGCAGTATCAGCAATGCACTCAGGGCCAACGATCAGTGAGCGAGTATACTGAGGAATTCTTCCGCTTGAGTGCCAGGAACAATCTCCACGAATCCGAAAGCCAGTTGGTCGCTCGTTATACCGGCGGCCTACGGGAATCTATACAGGAGAAATTAGAACTCAATTCCGTGTGGACTTTGAGTCATGCAATGAACTTCGCCTTGAAGGCTGAGACACAATTTTCACGGCATTCTCGCAGCCAGTCATCCAGGAAGAATTATGGGGAATCTCAGGTTGAAGTATCCAGAGGACAAATATCCGGAGCTCGATCCCCTCATATTCCTCGCACATCCCCCACAATCACCTCTCCTCAGGGATCGGGACCAGCTGCTGCTGACAATCGAAATCAATCCAAGGCACCTCTACCCGCTAGAGAAAATCCTTACAGTAGACCCGCTACGTTGAAATGTTTCCGGTGCTTTCAGCCTGGACACAAGTCCAATGAGTGTCCAAACCGGCAACGCATACAGCTTATGGATGGGGAACGCCAGACAACCGAGGAGGAGTTCACACCTGATCTGGATAATGAGTTCGAGGATGTTCATGGGGATGAGGGAGAACCATTCGTCTACGTTTTGCAACGATTGTTGCTAGCTCCCCGAACGAACATTCATTCACAGCGGAATGCTCTGTTCAAGACACACTGCACCATTCAAGGGAAGGTATGCGAAGTCTTGATCGACAGCGGATGCACCGAGAATGTTATATCCAAATCCGTGGTTCAAGCTCTTCAATTGAAGACAACCAGCAATCCACACCCGTATAAAGTCAGTTGGATTAAGAAAGGCACCGAGGTCACAGTGAACGATATGTGCTGTGTTAGTTTCTCTATCGGCCGTCATTACGCCTACGAAGTCCTCTGTGACGTGATAGATATGGATATATGCCACCTTATCCTCGGAAGGCCATGGCAGTATGATATGGATGCCATCTACAATTGCCGGCAGAATGTGTACACTATCGACTGGAAGGGTAAAAGGCTTAGGCTCTGCCCTCAGAATACAACACCCGTAAATAGCACACCGAACACCAATGCGGCGTATGTTGTTTCCGGTAAATTGCTGCTGCAATCTCTTCAAGACCACGAGAGCCTCATTGCCCTGGTAGTATCAGACAGTCAGAACTGTTCGGCTTCGGCAGCCCTTCCTATTGAAATTCAAGAGTTACTTTCCAAATTCACAGATGTGTTACCTGCTGAGTTACCGCCTGGCCTCCCACCGATGCGTTCCATACAGCACCAGATTGAATTCATTCTCGGTGCTACTTTACCAAATATTCCACATTATCGCATGAGTCCCAAGGAATACTCCATCTTGCAAGGAATTATTGAAGATCTGCTTGGCAAGCAAATGATCCAGCACAGCCTGAGTCCCTGTGCCGTGCCGGCGTTGATTGTGCCCAAGAAAGACGGCCAATGGCGTATGTGCATTGACAGCCGCGCCATTAATAAGATCACTGTGAAGTATCGTTTCCCTGTTCCCCGAGTCTCTGATTTGCTAGATCGGCTGGCAGGAGCTTCTGTCTTCTCCAAGTTAGACCTCCGCAGTGGCTACCACCAGATTCGCATTCGTCCCGGGGACGAATGGAAAACCGCCTTCAAGACGCGCGACGGTCTCTACGAGTGGAAGGTAATGCCCTTCGGGCTCTGCAATGCACCTTCCACATTTATGCGATTAATGCAGGAGGTGCTACAGCCATTCTTGGGAAAAACTTGCGTAGCCTATTTTGACGATATTCTTGTTTATAGTACTAATCTTTCAGACCATGTCAAGCATCTCTCAGACATTCTGCAGTTGCTTCAGCGGCATCAACTGTATTTAAATCCGCAGAAGTGCGAGTTCGCGTCGCCCAGTGTCCACTTCTTAGGCTTCATTTTGTCCGTCAAAGGCGTAGAGGTGGATCCCCGCAAAGTTCAGTCCATTCGTGAATGGCCTATTCCCAAGACACTGTTCGACGTCCGGAGCTTCCATGGCTTAGCAAATTTCTACAGGCGGTTCATCCGTGGCTTCAGCATTATAGTAGCCCCACTTACAGATTGCCTAAAGGCAAGCAGCTTCCTCTGGTCCACTGAACAGCAGCGCAGCTTTGACACCATCAAAGAAGCACTCTGTTCAGCACCCGTCCTAGTCCTGCCCAACTTTGAGAAGCCGTTTCACGTCGACACTGATGCCTCTTCAATAGGAATTGGCGCTGTGCTCTCCCAAGAATCCCGACCAATCGAGTTTTTCAGCGAAAAACTCAGCCCCGCTCGACAGAAATGGTCAGCATACGAACAGGAACTTTATGCTGTTGTGAGGGCATTAAAACAGTGGGAACACTACCTCCTTCATCAAGACTTCGTTTTATGCAGCGATAATCAAGCTCTTCAGTACATAAACAATCAAAAGAACGTGAGTAGAATGCACGCCCGCTGGATTGTATTCCTGCAAAAATTCACTTTCGTGCTGCAACACAAAGCGGGTAAACTCAATCGAGTAGCCGATGCCCTTAGCCGGAGGGCTGCCATGCTGACCATGTTACAAACAGAGATAACAGACCTTGAAGAATTGAAGTCTCTGTATGCCACGGATGAAGACTTCGCACAGCCATGGGATCTATGCCAATCCGGTCAGCCACCAAATGACTACAGCATCCGCCACGGCTTCTTATTTAAAGCAAATTGCCTCTGCATACCACAATCGTCTTGGCGGCCCTTCCTCATCAAAGAAGTACATTGTGGTAATCTGGCTGCACACGTCGGTCGAGACAGAACTTTAGCTCAACTACAAGCAAGATTCTACTGGCCACATCTAGCCCGTGAAGTATCCCGGTTCGTGGAAAGATGTTCGGTTTGCCAGACTTACAAGGGCACTGCGCAGAACACGGGGTTATATCTGCCCCTTCCCACGCCTGACTCAATTTGGGAAGATTTGAGTCTTGACTTCGTCTTGGGCCTTCCCCGAACCAAGACCGGCGCAGATTCCATCATGGTGGTGGTGGATAGGTTCTCCAAGATGGCGCACTTCATTCCCTGTAAAAAGACATTCGACGCCGTTCATATAGCTAAGCTTTTCTTTAAAGAAATTGTCCGTCTGCACGGAGTACCCCGGAGCCTCACCTCAGATCGAGACGTTAAGTTCATTAGCCACTTTTGGCGTGATTTGTGGAAACGTCTCCATACCGAGCTCAATTTCAGCTTCGCTTACCACCTGCAAACCGACGGCCAGACTGAAGTAGTTAATCGGACCCTTGGCAACATGTTGCGCTGCCTGGTTCAAGAGCATCCGAAGAAGTGGGAGGAGTTACTCAGTCAAGCCGAGTTTGCCTTCAACTCTATGCCCAATCGCTCCACCGGCCATTGCCCCTTCAGCATTGTGTACACAAAGATGCCTAATCAGGTCGTTGATGTCGTCATCCTCCCCAAGTGTCGCAGCACAGTCGCAGCCCAATCCGCTGAACAATTCAAGGAAATCGTGGAGAGAGTTCACACAAAGCTGACTGAGTCAAACCGTCTCTATAAGCAGCAAGCTGACGCGCATAGGCGCTTTAAAAGCTTCAATCCCGGCGACCTGGTCATGTTGCGACTGAGAAGAGAGTGATTTCCTGTGGGAACCTATAGCAAGCTCAGTCCGCGGAAAATAGGACCT